TTGTCTCTTTTTTCCGAACCTTAAAAAAAAGTGGGGCCCTCACTTTTCCCTTAGAGACAGATGCCTTCTGAGGTGTTGCTGACTCCCCCAGTTCTCATTTGTAGCTCCATGGCTGATTGAATCAGGCATTGAGAGATTGAGGAGTGCGATTCAGTGCTCAGCAGGCTTCTGAATACTGATTCTGAGTCAGGCACATTGAATGAAATTAGATACCAAAAGAGGAGCTGTCAGACCTACGTGGTCCGGAGGTCAATCACATGATTAACAGTGATGACATCATCCCCTGGCGCTGCCCACTCTTTTGTTGCAGGATTGCACACTGTGAAACGTGCAGACCTGACTCCATTATGTAATTGCAGGGGCCAAGAATAGGGCCTCTAAAATCAGCCCAAGCCAATGGGACCCTTAAAGCTATACTATCAAACTTTTTTTGTTCAAAATGAGAAAACTTTAAATAATGAGTGTAACAAAGTTAAATGAAGAAATCAGAGACAGGTGTTAGTTATCATTCACTTGACCTCCTTATCACCGCTTTTCTCCGCACCCGTTCTCCCGCTGCAGACTTCGTGTTCCTACGCCCCCCTTGCCGCAATGAGCGAGTACATCATAAATTTGTCTTTAAAAGGGGTCATCGGATGCAAAACTCACTTTACATGTTGTTTGAACATAAATGTGTGTTGGAAGTGTGTGTACACATCCACCCTATAATTATAAAAATCCACCTAGTGGTTTTTTAAAAATCCCCTTTCTCAAATCAGGCTGTTCTGAGATTCCTGTCAGAATTACGTAGTTCTGCACAGGCCGCTCCCATGATAGTTGATTGACAAGGCCGTCTTACCTTAGACCCGCCCTGAGTGAGCTGTGAGCTGTCCTCCATTGTGTTGACTCGGGTGCAGGGGAAGACAAGAATGTCTCCGATTAAGCGATTGATGCGTTTTGTTGTTGGATGTCATAATGAACATAGCAGATGTTGAAGACATCCCATGAAGACGCAGAAGATTAACGTTACTTTCGTTTTTGAAGGGAATGCACTGATCCCCGATCTGCCTAAATGCGTTTATGTTTGCACAAATCATTCGTGATCTGGCTTCATCTACAGAAGAAGTGAGTATATGGGTTTTTTATGAATCTTTGCAGATCGCCTTTCCTAATATGTGCTAGTTAGCAAGTTTTGCGGTTGAAGTTTACAGTCTGCTCGTCATCCCATGGAAGAGAGGGGTGGAGTGAGCAGAGCTCATTAGCATTTAAAGCAACATGGACTAAAACAGCTTGCTGAAAACAGAGCTGATTTTGACAGGGTAAAAAGGGTGTGTAACAAACGTTTGTAGATTGGGAAGAAGGAGGTGGGAACCGGCAAACATTTAAACACAACTTTAATAATAAAATAAACACAAAACTAGCGTGACGAAAAATAGTGAAAATAGCACAACAGCCACTCACGGATGACTGCTGCTCACAAACACAACAACCTAAAATCCAGGCCTGGTCCTCTCTCGTCTTGCACTGTCGCCACTCCTCCTTTTATCCTTCCGGAGCTCCTCCGTGGGACTCGAGACTGGTGAGTGGCGCAGGTGTAACTCATTATCATTTACTCCACCGGCCTCGCTCCGCTCCCATGGCTCTCGGCCCCGTCCCACTCGTCACATACCCCCCTCGTAGGCCGGGGGGTACCCACAAGACTGCGCTCTACTCCCCCCCGGGGGCCCCATCACGGCAGCTGCAGCACCTGGGGGTAAGGACAGACAAGGCGAGAGAAAAGGAGACGGAAAGATGAGGAGAGACAGAGACGAGAGAGGAGAAAAAAAATTATTCTCGGCCCGGTTCCCAGACACACTGCTGCTTGGTCCTCAACCAGCTGAGAGGCTCTCACTCGCGGTGCCATGCGATGGTACTGGACATCATTGGTGGACGGCCCACCGCTCCTCCGCCTCCTGGCGGACGGCGATGGCTCCTCCGGTCGAGGGCAGCCGGCAGCTCCTCCCCTGTTCCCTGCTCCTCCCCAGTCATGGCAGACGGCAGCAGGCTCCGGCCTCCAGGCGAACGGCACTGACTCCTCTTCTCCTTCTTGGATGACCCCTTTAAAACATATTTTTGCCTTACCTTGAATCACTATGATAAGCCTTTAATAATGATCTATATTTTAGAGTGTTTTGGATAGATTCAGTGGGAAACTGCATATTTGCATAATTTTTCTGTGCGTTTATGTCATATCTGTAAATAAAGGAAAGAAAGTCTGGCTACTTCTATATGCAGTTGATGGTGTGATAGTAGCTTGAAGCCACAAATGAACCTTAAACCAAAATGGCTTTGCAAGCAAAAAAGTGACAGTGCCCATAAAAAATTCTAATCAACACCTCTTGGCATTTCAGAAATATGTTTAGTTTGCAAAGCATCACATTTGCTGTGCGTTGACTAGGTTTACAATACAATGTTTATGTTGGTAACAAAGCCTATCCTTAAACTAGTTATTATTTAAATCTATTTGCCTATGAAGCCATGCGATGGTACTGGACATCTTTGGTGGACGGCCCGATGCTCCTCCGCCTCCTGGCGGACGGCGATGGCTCCTCCGGTCGAGGGCAGCCGGCAGCTCCTCCCCTGTTCCCTGCTCCTCCCCAGTCATGGCAGACGGCAGCAGGCTCCGGCCTCCAGGCGAACGGCACTGACTCCTCTTCTCCTTCTTGGATGACCCCTTTAAAACATATTTTTGCCTTACCTTGAATCACTATGATAAGCCTTTAATAATGATCTATATTTTAGAGTGTTTTGGATAGATTCAGTGGGAAACTGCATATTTGCATAATTTTTCTGTGCGTTTATGTCATATCTGTAAATAAAGGAAAGAAAGTCTGGCTACTTCTATATGCAGTTGATGGTGTGATAGTAGCTTGAAGCCACAAATGAACCTTAAACCAAAATGGCTTTGCAAGCAAAAAAGTGACAGTGCCCATAAAAAATTCTAATCAACACCTCTTGGCATTTCAGAAATATGTTTAGTTTGCAAAGCATCACATTTGCTGTGCGTTGACTAGGTTTACAATACAATGTTTATGTTGGTAACAAAGCCTATCCTTAAACTAGTTATTATTTAAATCTATTTGCCTATGAATAGCCTACTAGCCATACTTACCAAGACACATTTTCAGATATCCATCTTTCTTTCATTATATATTTATTGATTTATTTCATAATTTTGGAGTGCCTCGGGCTAACAGATTCATTTGCGCAGAACAGAGTAGCTAAAGAAGAACTCACATGATTACTAAAACAATGTTCCGCCTCAAGTAACTTGTAGTTATAAGTTTCAACCACTAAAGAAGGAGTGTCCAAACTTGTTCCTAAAGGACCACTGTGCATAGAGTTTAGCTCCAACCCTAATTAAACACACCTTAACCAGCTACTAATGCCACTAGAAACTTCCAGTCAGGCGAGGAGGAGCTGGTTGGAAATAAAATCTGCTGGACGATGGCCCTCCAGGAGCAGGATTGAACTCTGCACCAAAGGCCCAAACGTTTAAAGGGGTGGTTCATTGCGATTTCACTTTTTTAATGTTAGTTAGTGTGTAATGTTGCTGTTTGAGCATAAACAATATCTGCAAAGTTACGAAGCTGAAAGTTCAATGCAAACGGAGATATCAATGTTCAATGCAAACGGAGTCTTTTAAAATTCTGGCAGTTTAATGCCTACAAAAACGGCTGGTAGGGACTACAACAAGTAACAAGTCGGGTTCGTGACATCACAAACCCAGATAAACCCCGCCCTCTCGAAAAGTCAGCAAAGGGGGCGAGGCCATGCTGCGCTGCTTTAGAGAAGAGGAAGAGAAAACTAGAGGTGCACGTAAAAATCTGTTCATATATGAATCGCGATTCTGTCTTCTAAGAGAAGGGACAGAGTTGTGTGGAATAAAGGTAAATTATGTGAAAACGAATGCGTTTTTTTTAAACGAAGCATTAACACATGTTAGACTGCACCCCATACACACAATCAAGCCTAGAAAAAACCCAGTGAACCACCCCTTTAATAGTGTAGATTTAAGAGGACTAGAAATAGTCCACACCCCCCCTGAGCTTTCAATTACTAATTAATGACAGCTTAAAAAAGGTAATAAAACATCAATGAGGGTTCTGAAACTAAAGAAGGAACCGCTGTCAAACTAGAAAGAAAAAAAAACACAACCACAGTCAAGCTTGTCAATTATTTTGTACATGGTAGTTAAAGCACATAATATTTAACTGCTGTATTCAGCTTCATACTGTAAACAGTTGTCATTTGCTAGTTTGTTGTGTGAGAACACTGTGCTGCTGTTTTACTGTAAGCAACCTTCCAGAACACTAGCAACCGCAGTGATTCCCTGGTAAGCATTACTCGATTAATTTCATTAAAATTTTATCTTCTGAATAATAAATTAGAGTCCACACCAATGGGTGATGATGTTCTGTTTATTAAAAGAGTTGTCACCTGCTGCTTGAAATATTTGAGCTCTTTAAATCCAGATGGATTCTGATAGTTTTCTGTGAACTCTAGTTTTGCCTTCCTATTAGTTTCAAAATGGTGAAGCAGGAAAATAAATGCGTATGTTTAACCTTGCTAGACTACATAATCTTACCCTCTGAAAATAAGGTACCATTATATGAGTGAAAATATATAATTTTGGTCTCAGTGGAAATGTTCACTATTTGGAGCTCCATATGATCTGTTTGTATAACATCTTCCTTCTCTCCTCACATTGCAAATAAAGCTGCTTTCCAAGTGTCTTGAGTTTTAAGACAATCTAGAGAGAGTTTCATACACCATCTCTGCGTAGCTGTTGGTCAGCTCGGATTCTGTATTTCCCTCCTCTTATTCTTATGTTGTTTACTGACCCTGTGGAACTATTTGGGTTAAGAAGTGCTCTGTGCTATATTGGTAGTAGCCACTTAGACTCAACTAAGAAAGAGATTGCCTTTTTTTTACCTTGAAGAAACATTTGATGTAACATTTTTGTTTTGGTTTAATTTCAGACTCTTTCCTCATCTATCTGAGGTGGATGTGATATCCGAGAGAGACATTACAAAGCGTGTATGATGGCTGTGTCCGGATGTCCAGATTATTTTCTACACCATCCAAATTACCAAGTATTTGTTTTGTTCTTTTCCCATTACACTGTTTACCCAGCCTCTACATTGTTATTGTCTTTGTAAGATATTTTTGTTCCAAAACCACTATACATTATGTTCTTGCCTTAAAACACAAACTGGAAAAGCCAGCCAGATTACACACAGCCATACTAAAAATGTTTTTTTGCAGTACCAGTCAGTTTTCCTTTAGTATTTTATTTAGTATTTACTTTTTAAAGGAATTAGTAATTGCATTATTTCAAAACTACTTCAGAGTCAACCCTACATGCCAAGCAAATTTGTTTGGGGTATAATAATATAAGTAGTAGTATTATTTACTAAAGCAGAGCATTGTGAAGAAATGGCAAACGTTAATGACAGTGGAATGTTTTGGGCATTTTGTTTAAAACTGCCCTTTTTTGATCTGGAATATTTCCAAGCATGCATTTAAATGTATCCCTAACCAAGTTATGAGAGGCTGTGCTATTATGAATATTGTCGCAACATTTTATGAATCCATTTCTTCATAATATTTAAGACACAATTGATAAATGTTTATTTATTCATTTAATTTATATATATTTAGTGCCTTCTGTCTTCTTTCTTTCTGATGGTTTATTATTATTATTATTATTTTATTGTGTACTGTAAAAACTGATAGTTCACCTACTTTCGTTTTGAAGTTTTTGTATGGTTTAGGAGAGTATGTGAGAGGTAAAGTTGAGGGCTTCTGTGTATTTTGAATGTACAGTACCTGACATGAGCAGTAGATTTAGAGTCTAAGCCTGAATGAAGATGGGGTTACAGTGAATGGCCATTGCATCAGTGTGCATTCCTTTGGGCTGGATGCATTGGATTCACATGGTGAAACCTGACGTAAGAGCATTAAATTCTAGCCTTATTCTTTGGAGTAACTGGCCGGTTTTAAAGGTCTCTCCTTGATTGGCATTGTTTACATCCACGTTAAGCAGTTCAAACCCAGCTGGGAAATATCAGTCAGGCATATCTCCCCGTGGAGATCTGGTATTGGTACAGCTTGATTATTAGGCATGTCTTCCTTTGGGCCATCCACTATTGTCCCTAGAGGAATTCTTAATGCAAAATACCCAGACGCTCTGATGTGAAATTAGTTTTTTTTATCATTTTAAAAACTTTTTTACCTTTTTTTTTTAACAAATCAAGTGTAGCATTAGTTTTAGCAGGTCACGTCAGTCGAGCTTGCATCAGCTGATCTGCGTCTACCTACTGTACAGGAATACCAAACCGATCACGGCTTCCCTATATAAGGTCCATTCAGTATTATTCAGCAGCTTATCGCATTGCTCATCAGCAAATTACCCTTCTCCATCCCCAGCTCCTCCTTTCGTCCACAGTCAGGACTTGGCCTTCTGATATTCTTCGTTGAATCAGATTCCTTTATCTTGAATTATGTTGTTACATTAAATTATCATTAAGAACATTAATGATATCTGCTACATTTATGTTGGTTCTGTTCTGTTTTACAGATCTCCCTGCTCTTATCCATGCTAGGCTGCATGAATGGGCAGGGAGTTTTTTGCCCAGAACAGAACCATACAGCCTTTGATGATAGTGATCCTGACAGAATTCCATTTATTTTTGCCTTGCATTTGCAGACTTTTTTATCCTTGTCTCAGACATGGACCAGTCAATACTTAATATAAAAAGAGGCATGACTTTGACTGCCCCATTTGTAAAGTAATATCCACCACAATCAACAATTTTGCGTCTAAAAAGTTGTTTTGTTAGTGTAATTGTTCAGTCAGTGTCAGTGAAGATCATGCTTATGATGAAATATGAGACGTGATGTGTGAAGTAAACAGGAAAATTAATGTGAATATCACTAATTTGACTAATTCATAATTTGTAATTTGTTCATTTTATTATATTTATAGTCAATATAAATTATATTCTAATAAATTTAGAATACATAAATATTGCAAAAATATTTAAAATGTAATTCACACCTGCATACTTATTACCACAACTGAAGTGTTTTGAGAAATTTGTTCATGATGGGTCAGTAGGGAAAATAAAACAAAAATGACACAATTTGCCTATGTGTCACGCCCATGGACTGTCCTTTTGTTCCTGTGTAGTGTTTTGTTCCCCATGTGCTCCCCGTGACCCAGTTTCTCCCGTGTTCTGATTGTGCAAATATGATTCAGGTGTGTCTCGTCTGTTACCCCTCGTTGAGTTCCTGGTACTTAACCCCTGTGTTTTCCTGTGTCCTGCATCCAGTGTTATACATCAATCCCCGTGCTACGTGTGTGTTCCTTCCTGTGAGTCTTTGTGGTTCAATAAAGACTGTTCTTCATAAATTATCCCACGTCTCCGCATCTCCTCGCTTCAACACAGTAGTCAGAGTGTGACAGAACACTGGACCCTATAACAGTAAGCGGCACCCCTTCCCCCCGTTTTTGTTTCCGTTTTTGAAAGTGTTTTTTTTTCATTATTATGGAAACCCCTGCGAGATTCGCTAGCCCGTAAGGACCTTCCTTTTGTGGAGTATGCCAGGGAATTCTGTGGGCTCGCCGTCTTGACGCATTGAACGGCGCCACACTGAATTCTTTGTTCTGGATCGGGGCCAACTACCATCGCCCCGTCGACCTCCCAGACACCACGGGACTATGCTGGAGGGAAGGAATCCTCCGGTATCTGGAGAGCGTTCGGCCCCGATCCAGAAATGCTCCGCAGTCAAGCCCGCCGGCCGCTGCACTCTCAAGCCCGCCGTCCGCTCCATTGTCACGTCCGCCGGCCGCTCCATTGCCGGCCAATTCACTCCCAAGCCCTCAGCTGACAGCAGCTGTCTCCCTAACCTCAAACCAAAGGAGGAATATAAGGAGGAAAAGACTGTCGGCTCCAGCCCCTGAGTCCGCTCCAGTGTCGGCTTCAGCCCCTGAGCCCGCTCCAGTGTCGCCTCCAGCCCTTGAGCCCGCTACAGTGTCGACTTCTGCCCCTGAGCCCGCTCCAGTGTCGGCTCCAGACCCTGAGCCCGCTCCAGTGTTGGCTCCAGCCCCTGAGTCTGCTCCAGTGTGGGCTCCAGTTCCCAAGTTAAGCCCAGAGAGGGCTGCTGCACCTACGCCCAGCCCAGAGAGGGCTCCTGTTCCCCAGTCCAGACCAAAGAGGGCTCCTGTTCCCACGTCCAGCCCAGAGAGGGCTCCTGTTCCCAAGTTAAGCCCAGAGAGGGCTCCTGTTCCCAGGTTTAGCTCAGAGAGGGCTCCTGTTCCCACGTCCAGCCCAGAGGGGGCTCCTGTTCCCGCGTCCTACCCAGGGAGGGCTCCTGTTCCCACGTCCAGCCTAGAGAGAGACTCTATTCCCAAGTTAAGCCCAAAGATGGCTCCTGTTCCCAAGTCCGGCCCAGAGAGGGCCGCTGTTCCCACGTCTGGCCCAGGGAGGGCCACAGTTCCCGAGTCAAGCCCAGGGAGAGCCACTGTTCCCACGGAGGGCCTCAGATGCAGAGTCAAGCCCAGAGCCGGTTCCAGCTAGGGAACCCAAGATTTTCCCCAAGGAATTTTTTTTGGGGGGGGGGGGCTATATGGCTCTGGCTGTAGGGGCCGGGCCGAGGCCAAGGCCACAGAGGCTATTTCATCATGGACCCCTGGACTGCCTGCTCCGCCATGGCTCCCTAGTCTGACTGCTCCACCATGGCCCCCTGGACTGCCTGGTCCGCCATGGCTCCCTAGTCTGCCTGCTCCGCCATGGCCCCCTGAACTGCCTGCTCTGCCATGGCTCCCCGAGCTGCCCACTCCACCATGGCTCCCTAGTTTGCCCGCTCCGCCATGGCCCCTTGAACTGCCCGATCCGCCATGGGTCTCGGAACGGGTACCGCCCTGGAGGCCTTCCGTCCCGTGTAAGCCTGTCCCTAGCGGCCTCCAGAGCGCCCACCCCCCCTCCCCGTTGGATGTTATGAGGCGCGTGAACGCGCCTTCCGGGAGGGGGAGGTAATGTCACGCCCATGGACTGTCCTTGTGTTCCTGTGTTGTGTTTTGTTCCCCATGTGCTCCCCATGACCCAGTTTCTCCCGTGTTCTGATTGTGCTAATTTGATTCAGGTGTGTCTCATCTGTTACCCCTCGTTGAGTTCCTGGTACTTAAGCCCTGTGTTTTCCTGTGTCCTACGTCAATCCCCATGCTACGTGTGTGTTCCTTACTGTGAGTCTTTGTGGTTCAATAAAGACTGTTCTTCGTAAATTCTCCCACGTCTCCACGTCTCCTCGCTCCAACACAGTAGGCAAAGTGTGACACTATGATGCATGTATGTCCATACGTGGACATTGTTAAATAATCTAGAGTTTGAAAAGAGTATTTTAAGAGAGTTTACGAAAGCCCATTTGGTCTGAAGTACCCATAGCTGAAGAAACTTATATGCTAAAGAGGATCCGACAGACTACACCTCTAAGCATTTTCAATGCATTTTGAAGGAGGAGGAGGAGGAATGGTAGAGGCTTTTAGATAGTGGTAAATAAAATGAATCTACCCGCAGCATCTGTCTGTGCCTGTGTAAGTCTGTTAAGCAAGTGGGATTCTGGGCCGGGCTCCAGGTTTGGTTAATGCAGGGGGACTGGAGGCCTGCCACAGCACTTCGAGGAGAGCTCCCTAACTACTGTTTTAAAGGAACTGCTGAACTGGCTTTTATTGAGCTGTGCCTCTCGCCTTTGTGCTCTCAATTAAGATGATGAGCTAATGTTTGAATTGCTCTGAGAGTGTAAGCCCCTACTTTCAGATCTTCATTAAGTGTGGACTTGAATTGAATAAAAATTTATAGCTAAGCAGCGTTACGCTAATTTACTCACTTTTCCTGCGCGTCCATAATTAAAGAGGCCTTGATATAATAACCTAATAAAGCACGTAGGCTGGTAAATTGAATTGATATTTAGAATACCAGCAAACTGTAAATTGGGAGGCAATTCATCTTTTGAATTTCAAGTGAGAACTCAAGTTTGGCGTATGTTTGTGTTTTCTTAGCTTAGTTTAAGAGGATGTTTTTTGGTCAGAGGA